AGTACGAGTTGAGGAATCGCACAACAGGAAAACAATGATGATCGTCAAGACAACGGGGCGCAGCCTGAGTGCAGGCAGGTGGCGCCCTTTTTGAATTTGTCTTCAAAACCTGTTGAGGATAGCGCAGCGGAACGCTACTACAATTATATCCATCCGGACGAGACCTTGCATAATTTTATTAACAAACCTATATTTGTGAAGAGCAATTCATCAAATAATTATTTATCGTTAGATGTGCATTTTAATATCGTTTTAATTGTAATACGCGAAAAGGTCCAGAAAACAACGATGGGAATGATTTACATCCGTCAGTCAGCGAAGACGCATTGCCGGATAGTGCTTCGGACATTTCTTCGATAACAGAAACAAAAAAATCGAAGAGGTCTCCAAATTTGTTTGCCTCACTTTCAACGCCACCACCAAATAAGAATATATACAACGAGACCTTTATAGATTTAACGAACGCTAGTCTTACGTCACTGCCTATTGAAATGGTCGAAAAATATCCCATGATAAAAGTACGAATTATGCGAATAATTTTACGTATATTTAAAGAGTGCGACAATCTTTTTCAAACTTTAGCATAATTATTGCATTTTTTTTGCACATGAATTGAAGCATTTTATTTGTCTTCAGATGTTATATCTAGAGAATAACAATCTTCGCGAACTTCCCAAAGAACTTTTCGTTTTATTAACACATTTGCAATGGCTGGATATTCGAAATAATCAATTAACGAGCTTGCCTACAAGCATCCAGTCGCATTCTTCGCTAGAGACCATTTTGTTACAAGGAAATAAAATCGAGAAATTACCATTAGAACTTTGTAAGTGAGCATATAATAAGGATTTTATCAATTATATTATTAATCTTTGGCAAAATTTTTTTTATTTTTTATATAATTGAATTATTAATTTCTAGGTTTAGTGCCAAAACTTAAAATCCTCAATGTGGCGAATAATCCTATTATTGTACCTCCAAAGGATATTATAGCTCTCGGATGTTCAAGCATTTTGAATTATCTTCGCGCTGAATGGAATAAATTACATCCGGATAAATCCATAACATTAATGGAACGTAAGAATATTTTTTTATTGTATGTGATTCTGTTACGATACAATTGTTTAGATTATCGATCCCGATTAAATTGATTAACGATTAATTAATTAACAAAATTATTAGCCCGTGAAATAAATTTCCAGCAATAAGTTGGTAATTGTTAATATACAAATTAGAATTTAATTTGTTATAGAAAAAATTGAACCAAAACCATCAACGATTTTATGTTATCAATCTCTTTGTGAAAAACGACGAAAACTGATAAAAAGTTGCAAAGTACAAGTACCAAAAGATACGAATGATATCAGCCATTCGTTCAAAGACGCTTCGGTCGGAAAAAAGAATAAAGGTCACGAATCCAGCTCCAAGTATAGCGATATGCAGATTAATACGTTTTTAGAGAATTCGGTAAATAGTATCAACGATACATGTGACAATGATGAGACAAGTTCTCTCTGCGCATTGTGTGCTCGTAATGTCGCTGCCGTTCAATGGAAGAACGAAAGTAACAGGGAAAAAAATGGGATTAATAATGCGGAGGATGATAATTGGAAAAAGAGACATAACGCGCAACACGTATTTTTGAAAATGATAACTTCGTGTTATGGTGTTAAAAAAAATTGTAGCAAGAAAGAAATCATTGAAGTGGATGCAAAAATATTGCACTTAACAGGGCCGTCGCCTAGATCGTATTACGTTAGGCGAAATATTACGGGATTGATAACATATGAACATTATCGCAAAAAGGAATGTAGAATCAAAGCAATTAGTAACGAGACAAAACATATCGTACTTTCAAAGCCGGAAAACTTTACGGTGTTTAGCGAAAAGAAAAAGAAATGCAGAAACACGAAACATGCAGATCTAATTTTTGATATTGTTACGAAGGATATGCGAAGAATGCAATTGCGCCCGATGCAATTAAAGGACTTACGTTGCATGTTGTCATGTTTGGAAAATTATTTTGACATAAAAATTGATTAGTTACTTATCTCTCGATCGTATTCACTATATATATATATATGCTAGTTGCATCTCCATCAATAATAATTAAAATAATGAGTGATAGTAGCAAAAGTTACTTACAAGGGAGGGAACTGTCACAAGTGCCCCCCCCCTCTGATTTGATTTTTTTTTAAATATGTTATAAAACATACAATTTTAGGAAACACGTATTTTTTTATAGCGGTCCTAACTGAAATTTAAGGGGTGAAACACCCCTTTGAAAAAAAGGGTATATACAACTTTTATTTGAAGCATTTTTCTCTTACGATATCTCTTACGGTTTTGGCGATATTCACATACAAAGAAAAAACTCGTTCTTTTTTAAAGGGTGTTTCACCCCTTAAATTTGAGTTAGGGCCGCTAGAATAGGCCGATAGAAAAATACGTGTCTCCTAAAATTGTATGTTTTACAATATATTTCAAGAAAAATTAAATCGGGGGGGGGGGGGACACTTGTGACGGTTCCCTTGTTAGTCCTGGTAGCAGGACATACATTAGGCGTTATTACATTTCCAATTGAACACTTTCAAATAGTAGCGTATGGATATTCGAATAAAGTTGTTTAGGGACAACTTCAATCCCTCGTGCTACTTGTCATGAAACTGATAAGCTTGTAATTTTCCGAACCCTTAAACGAGAAACTTTTATTTCCAATACTGAGTAAAGAAAAAAAAAACAACATTCTACTGTCAGTATATTCTAAAAGGGGAAACTTGCAAAACGAGTCACATGGGTTTAGCTTCCTTCTACGTTATATTTAGTGTCACAGGAGAAAATTCTACTTCTACACATTATAGCTGCCTGTCATCTATTCACATACAAAGACATGCTGCAATTGCTATGAAAAAATATTACAGGTCTATAACATTTGCATTATATATAACACTTCTTAAATTATTCTTTGTATTAAAAATGGAGATTCACGCACAATGAAGTTTTTAGAGATTAGTTGACCGTGCGATGTCAAAGACAAAAGATCGTTCGGAAAATATGAGTTTTACATGCAGTTATGATTACAAAATGGTTAAGAACATAACATCCTTAGCTGGCCAATGGCCCTATCAGAAACAGAGAACGAAGCTATTATGTTTAAGTCTGGTGACTTTAAGTACATGTTCTATAATGGCACCGCAAGTAATTTTTGATCATTTTTGGCAAAAGGTGAATATGAATAGTGAGAGTAATAGTTAATCTGCAAACAGTAATATTTTCAGATAGCCCGGTTTGTTATATGTAGTGGAGATTTGAATTGTATTCTTCAAACCTTGGCAGCGTATTTATTGACAATAGTAACATTGATAAAATTGTACACCTGTTACTTTAATCGATATAAAGTACGTTAGTTATTTTATGGCCGATGTTATGATCAATGAATTGTATGTTTTTGTCGATAGCACCATAGATTGTGCTAAAAAAAACTTATTATTAATTAACAGTTTTCCTAGATGAAAATTCTCGTTGACCAGTTATTCATCGAATGGGACAAATTAAAAACTCCAGAAGAATATGAAATTATGAAAACATACGCTGAGACTGGCAAGCGATACACTTTGCGATATTCATGTAAAAATAAACTGCAATTTTTATTTTTGTATATACTGAGAAAAAATTATTAATGTAATTAAATACATTTAGTTGATGATCATTTTTTCAGTTCAAATATTTAACTCAAATATACGTTAATAACATTAACACATTTGTGTAATTTAAAACAATAACATCGTTTCGTAGATATTTTTAATTTGATGAGTAAATTTTACATATTTAATCAAGGAAAAGTCGATCTGAATAGCGACAATATCGTAGTAAACAAATGAAGCAAAAAGTAAATTAAATTTATTCAACATTATTTTGTACTTATAATAATATATTATTATATTTGAAAAATATCTTTTTAAAATTATACTTTTTTCTCAGTGTACGTTACTAATTTCTTTGACATTTTAATTATAATTTAGCAGTCACATTGAGCGCTCAAATTTTATTATTTATTTGTTACAGTGTGTATCTTTATAAGCGCATATATTTTTTGTTCCCTGTCTCTCATACCATATATAATGGATATTATATTACCTCTCAATAATTCTCGCCCTATACTTACGGTAACTCCGTCATATTATTTTATTGACGAGAGAGAATATTTCTTCTATATTTACTCACATGCTATCGTAGCCTGGGAAATTACTGTGTCTGGCATAGTCGCCCATGATTGCTTTCTTTTAACTTATATTGAACATATCTGCAGTATTTTCACTATAATCGGGTAAGAGCAATTTATATATTAATATAAGTATAATAGAAAAATTAATGTCATGTAAACGTATAGATTTCGATTTGAACAATTAATGTACAAACACACTGACACTGGAAAAATTTTACCTTCTTATTCAAGTGATATCTATCGTAAACAAATTGCATTCACAGTGGATATGCATCAAAAAGTATTAAAGTGAGTATCTACTTTGTACAGAAGAAAATTTGTTATTACAATATCTTTCGTCTGCGTAGATTCGCTCACCTTCTTGAAGATGTATTTTCATTATCACTGGCTATGCAAATAGCGCTAAATACAATATCAATCAGTATCACCTTGTTACAAGTATGTATGTTTATTCATTTTACGATTTAAAATTAAATCCATCCTGGTATCTATTTTTCTTATATATTTTGAATTAAATAATAATACGTTTTATTAAACTTATGAAAATTGTGTGTGAAAAAACTAAAATGTTATTTCTTTTGCGGAGATCACGCAAGACACTTCTGATACATTAATAGTGATAAGATACATAGTGTATATTGCTGTTCTATTGCTCCACCTATTCTGCCTCAGTTTTGAGGGACAAAAGCTGATAGATCACAGTCTTCGAACACGTGACAAGATGTAAGGGAGTAACAGATTTTGTAGTAATTTTACTGAAATTTAATTAACATATTATTCATGTACGTTGCAGCTATAACAGTCTTTGGTACAAAACATCCCCAAAATCACAAAAAATGCTCTTGTTTGTGATGCAGAAAACTTTTCAACCTATTTCACTGAGCGCTTGCAAAATTTACATCTTTTCAATGGAAAACTTCACCACGGTAAATATTGCAACAAACATACCGTAATATAATATAATCGTAAAATAATGTCATTACGTAATGTTGAAAGATATTTTTTTAATAATATTGGTTTTTATTTTAAAGATTATGCAAACTTCGATGTCATATTTTACGGTCCTCGCATCTATGGAATAATTAAGTAATAATCGGTATTTAATATTCTTTCTACATTTTGTCAAATAATTTAATTTTTGTGTGATAATTGTCCCTTCTTGGCAAAAGCTGAAGAATAAAGATATATAAGTGTGACAATTGAAAAGCCATTCATGTATAATATAATAATAATTCATGTATAATATAACATTGTTATAATGTTACAGAGATCATAATTTAATATCTCATTTACATGCACTAGTTCTTAATAGATTTATATTTTCACAACATTTTTAATTTGAAGCATTTATTTACTGATAGCAGCACATATAGGCTGAGTTCCACTTGGTGATCGCAACGCTCGCGAACATTATCTATCTTTCTTTAACTTTCGATGAAAAACAAAGATAAAATGATTCCACAAGCGTTGCGATCGCCAAGTGGAACGTACCTATAGTAGGCTTATTATTACACTTCCGATCAAGCATAGCTTTTTCAGATTCCTAGATATATTACATATAGATAGAGCTTTGTACCATTTTTGCTATAATGCAACACCTGCCAAGATAATGACGGTTTTTCCTCCTTCGCGTATGCGCATTCTTATATTTATCTCGGCGGATACAGCACTTTTACATAAAATTAGGTTATATCCTTTGCTGTCATGGATAAATACTTCTGTTTTCTGAAGATAAATGCGTGATTGCACATGCACGAGGGAGGAAAAGATAATTTTATCTTGGCAGGCGTAAGATTCACAAAGCTTTATCTATATGTAATATATCTATGTTCAGATCACATGTGTCTGTCAGTAGTGTCTGAATAATCGAATAAAGTTAATTATTTAGGAATAGTCTTCAGTCTTTCGTGCTACTTGTCATAAAACTGATAAATCAATAACTTTCAAATGAGAAACTGTTACGTTTGTTCGCGTCGCATGCCCCATCATACTCCAATACGCTCTAATTACGTTACGTATACTATATTACGTTCTGTATACTATAGATTGGAACATATTGGAGCATGTAGGGGCATACGACGCGAATAAACTTTCCAAGAACACTGAATAAAACAAAACATTTTTTTGGTCGATACATTCTATGGGGGAAGAATGTATTCTATAACTTGTTCTGTAGGGAACATGTCAAACGACAGTTACATGGCTCTGTTTCTTCTTTTTCCTTCTACTTTATATTTAGTATGACAGGAAAAAATTCAACTTCTGTGCATAATTGCTATCTGTCATCTATTTATACGCAAAGACATGCTGCATGCAATTGCTATGAAAAAATATTACAGGTCTTATAACATTTAAATTGCACATGATAGTTTTAAAGTCTTAAATTATTCTTTGCATTAAAAACGAAGATTTACGCACAATGTAGAGATTATTTGATTAATTTTTAGGGATTAGTTGACTGTGCGATGTCAAAGACAAAAGATTCTTCGGTAAATATGAACGTTACGTCCCGTTATTATAAAACTGTTAAGAATGTGTCATCTTTGTGTGGCCAATGGCCCTATCAGAGACAGAGAACGAGGCTATTATGTTTAAGTTGGGTGACTTTAAGTATATTTTCAGTGATTATTCCACAAGTAATTCTTGATAATTTTTAGTAAAATTTAAACACGAACAGTAGAAGCATTAATCTGCAAGCAGTAATATTTCCAGATGACCAAGTTTGTTACATGTGATGGAAACATACAATGTATTTTTACTACTTCGGCAGCTTCTGCATTAATAATCCTAACATTGGTAAAACTATATACGTGTTTCTTTAATCGATATAAAGTACGTTTATTGATTTGATATTTTGTCGATAGCATCGTAGATTATAAAAAAAATTTATTATTAATTAACAGTATTCTTAGATGAAAACTCTCATTGATAAATTACTCGAAGAATGGAATAGAATAAATAATCCAGAAGAGTGCAAAATTTTGAAGAAGTATGCTGAAAATACTAGGCTATTATCTTTTGGATATGCATGTAAGGATAAGCTTTGCAATTTTCATTTTTACATACATTGAAAAAAAAATTAACAACGTCTAAATATATTTATAGTTGATAATTATTTCTTTAATTTATATATTTAAATCAGCATATACTCATACATTAGTAATATTAACGAATTTATGTAAATTGAAACATATTTTGGTTTACACGTTTAATTTAGCGAATTATTTTTATGATTTTAACAAACGTAGAGTTAATATTAAACAGTGTTAGAGACAATAGAGACAATGTTGTAGTATATAATTCATGTGATTAATAAATTAGATCGATTCTCTCTCAAACATTATTTTCCATTTGCAAAACATATGATTACATTTTAAAAAATATTAACTTTTTTAAAACCACACTTTTTTTAGCGTACGTCTCTGTTTGTTTTGTTACTTAAAATTACAATTTAACAGTCATATCAAGCGATTATTTTATCTGTTACAGTCTACTACTTTTCGACCACAGTTATGTTTATGAGTGTGTCTTTTATACCACCACTATTGGATATCGTATTACCTCTCAACAATTCCCGTCCTTTACTCCCGCCACATCCTGCATATTATTTCGTTGACGAGGAAACATATTTCTATTATATTTATTGGCATGCAGTACTGGGTTGGGAAATTGCTGTAATTGGGATAGTCTCTCATGATTGCCTGCTTCTAATGTATATTGAACATATCTGTTGTATTTTCACTATAGTCGGGTAAGTGCAATTTATAACGCAATAATGTAAATGTAACAGTAAAATTAATGTTGTGCAAATGTATAGATTCCGATTTGAACAATTAATAACGCATAAAGACACTAACCCTGAAAAAAATTTACACCCCTATCCAAATGTTAAGTATCGTCAACAAGTTGCGTTCTCAGTGAACACTCATCAAGAAGCTTTAAAGTGAGTATCTACTTAGTATAGAAGAAAAAATGTTATTACTATATCATTTGCCATAGATTCGCTGAGCTTATTGAAGATACGTTTTCATTATCGCTGGGTATACAAGTAGCGCTAAGTACAGTAACGATCAGTATTACCTTGTTACAAGTATGTATGTTTATCTATTTTTACTATCTAACATTACATCCAATACATATCTATTTTTCGTATATATTTTATATACGAAATATAAATATAGATATACAAAATATTTATACAGGATGTCTCACAACTACCGTCCAATACCTTAACAGTATATTCTGGAGATAAAATAGAATAAATAATTTTAATAAAAAAATATCAAGGCTACATAATTTTGAAGTTATAAATGATTAAAGATTGCCAATGATATCCCGTAGAACTGGCGCGCTCAGGCCCGTAATTACACGCATACCAATCTATCAACTGTTATTGATTTTTACAAGTCAGGTGATATTGATTTTTACTGCACAGCTGATTTTATTTTGTCGTTTCTTGTATGCGAGAGTACTACATATACTATCGCTATCAGTTAATACTGAAAAATTAATGATTATAACAGGAAATTATAATTCTCTCTTTTAAGTGAAATATTCAATTTTTTTAAATAATAATTCTATCAGTTCGTAGAACTGATTCGATAGAATATCATTGGCAATCTTTAATCGTTTATAACTTCAAAACTATTGTAACCTCGATATTTTTGTATTAAGATTTTTTACTCTATTTTATCTCCAGAATATACTATTAAAGTATTGGGCGGCAGTTGTGAGACACCTTGTATATTATATTTTATATATTAAATAATAATACATGTATTAAACTTATAAGTAAAAAATTAAATTTTATTCCTTTTGCGGAGATCGCGCAAGACACTGCTGATTTGTTAATAGTGACAAGATATGTAGTATACGTTGCTGCTCAACTGATTCACTTATTCTGTCTTAGTTTCGAGGGACAGAGGCTAATAGATCATAGTCTTCAAATGCGTAATAAAATGTAAGGAGTTATAAATTTTGTAGTAATTACTTCATTTGTTTTAATTAGCATATGATTGAAATATTGCAGTTATAATAGTTTTTGGTACCAAACATCTCCGAAGTTGCAAAAGATCCTCTTGTTTATAATGCGGAAAAGTTTACAGCCCATTTCTTTGAGCGCCGGCAAAATTTTCATTTTCTCAATGGAAAGTTTCACTTCGGTAAAGATTGCAACGAACGTAAATAATATTATAATGTCAAAAGATAACAACTTTTTTAATAATGCTTATTCTTGAATTTTAAAGATAGTGCAAACTTCAATGTCGTACTTTACGGTCCTCGCAACAGTGGAATAATTATTTAATGATGAGTAATAGTCAGTATCCAGTATTATTCCCATATTTCATCAAATTATTTAAATTTTTGTGCAACAATGAAATAATATTTTTATGTGTAAGTAATACTGCAATTGTTACAATAATTATAATTTTAAAATTTATCATTATGCATATATTGGTTCTTGACGTTAAGCGAAAAATGTTTATTGCAAAATCATAAGAATATTAATAATTTTAAAACATGCTGTTTTGAAATTAAGACCAGAAATTTCAAGAATATGTTAAACTTTAAGAAAGAAAATTTTTTGTTATCTATATTCCAAGAGATTTGTTATCTTGAATATTCTGAGAGCGATACGTTTTGCACTAAGCAAAATTACATAAAATACTTATATCTTCACTGTGTTATACTTACATAGTGTAGAAGTGTAGAGAAAATAAAAATACTTTCCCTGTGTATAAAAGCATTGTCATTCATTGTAATGCGTGCGGTGTATGCTATGCGCTACAATGTCTATAATCTATGCAATACGCTATGATCTATTCGCTATGATACGATAGAACATAGCAGACTAGCATAGCATGTAGCTAGTATAGCATTTGCTAGTATAGCATTTGCATTATGTATAATTCTGATTGATACGTATTTTTTACACGGAAAAAAGCTAGCATACTAATTTCCCTTACATTATACATCAAGGAAATAAATGCTACTTCTGTCTATAGGGTTTTTTCATTGTCATACGTAGATATACTATATATTATATATGTCGTACGTATCTCTGTTGTACGTAGATACTATAATTGCTATGCGAAAATATCGCAGGTGTAGCATGCTGTATAATGCATGATATGTTGCATGAGGTTTTGCATTTTCCTTGTACCAAGGATAGGTTATTTAGGCAAAATAAAATTGATCAACTGTGAGAAGTCAATGATGAAAAGCTGTTTGCGAAGCATGGATTCTACTTGGAGTCATTATTACAATGTTCTTAAGAGAGTATCATCATTGGCTGGCCAGTGGCCTTATCAAAGACCAAGAAATAGATTATTCGCTATGAGCTTGATAACTTTGAGCATATTTTCTATAAATGTTCCACAAGTAATTGAAAACTTTTATGATAACATTTATGATAACTGACATGTATGTGTGCAACATAATATTTAATTTGCAAGCAATACTGTTTTCAGATAGCCAAATTTGCTACGTGTGACAAAAACTTGCAATGTATTTTTGAAACTATGACATCAATTCTGTTAGCAACGATGAGTCTGGTGAAGCTGTACACGTGTTACTTTAATCGCTCCAAAGTACTGTGTATTCATATTGTTCTTTTGGGATAGTACGCTTCATTGTGTGTGTAATCACCCGTGGCAATATGAAGAACGTGCGATTGATATTTAAGGATGTATTATATTTGTGCATTGGTTCTTGTAAAAAATTATGTATTGGAACACTTATTGGCAAATTGAACACAAAGAAGAAATATTGTCAGCCAAGTTCAATAAAATTTGTAATAAATTTTTTTGTATACTAATGAAATTCTAACAAGTATTTGTGTAAAAATTAATTTAGATTCATTGATCAATTTCAAAATTATTTGTCAAAAATTGCAGTAAAATATGATTGTATTTTACACCTCATTGTGACATCCGCGATTTGGCAATTGTTCGTTATTTTGTTTCTTGTAATTAATTTCAAAGAATTTTTTACATCCAAACGTTTCTTCTTCCTTTTTCAATAATTAGAAAAAATATTAATTACAAATATTTTTTATAATAAAAAGATTAAAACAGATTAATTTGCAATATTATAACTCCCTGCATAATTTAAATCTGTTTAATGTTTTAGTAGGAAATAATAAATATATTGTATTTAAATTCAACAATTTTTATGTAATAGTGTATATATAGCCAGTATATCCTTAAAAGTGTAACCACAAAGCAAAAGAATGTTATAAATACGAACCAAAGTAAAATGCATGTATCTAATCCATTTATTCACGAACTGCATTGACTTGAAATTTCAATCTTTGTGGACATTAATTGTTTCGTAATAATTATATTATTTTTAACAAGCTTAGAATATTTTATACTTTGATATTCCATTGTAGTGCATTGATTACTAATCAATCATATTTTTAGATGAAAACCCTCGCTGATCATTTGTTTGCCGATTGGAACGCATTGGAAACTTCAAAAGAGCATCAAATTATGAAAAATTATGCCACGAAAGGCAGGAGATATTCCTTAGGATACTCATGTAAGTATAAATTATATGGTTTACATTTTAATATTTTACTTTATAAAAATACAATTTAATGATTGTTAAATGATTACTTTACGTTGCAGTGTACTGCTTTATAGCACTATGCGTATTTCTATCGCTGTCTCTTACACCGCAATTATTAGATATTTTATTACCTCTTAACGAATCCCGACCTATTGTATTGACATATCCAGGATATTATTTTGTCGACGAAAGGGAATACTTCTTCTACATGTTTTCGCACGCTGTCGTAGCGTGGGAGATTGCTATTGCCGCAATAGTCGCGCACGATTGTATATTTGTGACTTACGTTGAACATGTTTGCAGCATGTTTGCTGTAGTCGGGTTAGACTAATTTATTGAATAAAGTATACATTAAAAACTTTATTAAATGCAAGTGAAAACAAAATGTACGTTGTAAATTACTTACAGATTTCGGTATGAGCATTTATTTTATAATAATATTAATGACATAAAAATTATAAATATTAATCCCGATGATGCATATCGTAAAAGAGTTGCATTTATCGTGCATGCACACCGAGAAGCTTTAAAGTGAGTACACGATATTTGTCACCATTTACGAATAAAGAGATACACCGAAATGACGAGATTCAATTTACATTAGTATCTTATTGTAGGCTCGCACAACTTCTCGAAAATGCTTTTACCATACCTTTTGCTATACAAATATTGATAGCAGTATTAGGAATGAGCATTACGTTACTACAGGTATATGAATATATGTGTTGTAAAACAGTGTTTAATCTGCAAAGAGCTGAACTATATTTTTTATATATTATATAATATATTACATAATTTTTTTATATTTGAAATATATTTTCTGTATTGAAGATCGCGCAGCAAAATGATACCAGTGATATTCTGGAAACAATGAGATACGCTTTATATGTTATTGGTGAACTGATCCATTTATTTTTTCTCAGTTCTGAAGGGCAAAAGCTGATAGATCACAGTCTTCAGATGCGCGATAAAATGTAGAATAATTGCTATTGATTTGTATATAAATAAAAAGAACTTTTGTGCGTTATATTTTATATTTTGCATATTTTTGCAGATATTGCAGCTCTTGGTACGAAGTGTCCATGAAATCGCAAAAACTGCTTATCCTAGTGATGATGAAGAGTATTCAACCAAGCTTCTTAAGCGCTGGCAAAGTTTACATTTTCTGTCTGGAGAGTTTCACCACGGTAAAATAAAAAAAAATTATTAAACACTGTTTGTTAGCTTCATTAATAATGGCGCTTTTGTTAAAGGTTCTACAAACTTCGATGTCGTACTGTACAGTACTTGCGTCTTTTCAGTAGCTCATATTTCTGCTTCCTACAATTATCACATGGTGTTAATATCCCATCGAAAGCAACATACGCATCTTTGACTTTTCTGTTACAATAATATATTTTTGTTAATCAGATATGTAATTTATAATTTATCTATTTAGTTTGGAAAATCATTAAATATCATTAAATAACAACCATTATGTGACCGATGATTCACCAAAATTGGCATTTACTTACAAAAAAGCTACATATTACGTACCATTGGTAATGATGTTAAAATGTTTGATAGACGTGACTGATTTATATATTTATAAAGCATTAATTGCCGGTTATGAAGATGATCTCTATTATAATAATTGTATTATGAATATGTTACGTGCCCTTAAGAAGTTAATAATATTTATTAACTTCTTAATTATTAACTTCTTAAGTGTTAAAAAATAAAAACACTTTGTTATTAAAAATTATTTTTATGAAGAATTAATTTAATTTATATAAAAATTGTATATTGGAGATTTTTCCGAACACTGAAAAATCCATTATTCTATTACACTCTGGAATAAAAATTTCGAAATTGTAAAATTTTTAAATTTTAAATTTTTAAATTTTAAATTCAAAATTGTAATAATTAAAAATTCTAAAAGTAGATTTCATGTAAAAATTCTTTTTCAGGGAGTTTTAAGAATCTTTAATTTAAAAACTAAGATGCAAAGTTAAGAATATAAAGTAAAAGAATTCAAGATTAAAAATTGAAAAATAATTGTTAACAACTAATTTAAATATTATGTGAAAATAAAAATAAAAATTTCAGAATATAAAAAATTTGCATAAATTGATAAGTTGAAAATACTTGTTTGAGAAATGACGTGTAGGTGTGTTTGTCATTAAATCACACTAGTGGTTAATTTTTAAATGAGGCGTACACTATATGCGTCATGTAAGTTTAAGAATTAAACGTAGTTATAATTTTTGAAATCTTTAAGTGGAAAAGTTTTGCTTTCAAAAAAACTGACCAAGAAATACAGCATAATGTTGATCGATACGTTCCGTGTGGGAAACTCGCAAAATGACTCACCTATCAATGAGACTTTGCTTGTGTGTGCTTCTACACGTTATATTTACAGTGTCAAAGGAATAAATTCCGTTTCTGTCCATAATAACTATCTGTCATTCATATCCGTGCAGAAACGTATCATACAACTACTGTATAAAAATATTGTAGTTTGATTGCACTTGTATTATGCATAAGATGTCTAAATTGTTAAAACGTTTCTTGCGCTCCCACCGAGGGATGTGGACTTAGGCAATATGAAATTTTTAAATTAGTCAACTGTGCAAAGTCAAGGATGAAAGACTATTTCTGCGCAATGAATTCCAACTGGAATCGATATTATGGAGTTGTAAAAAAAGTTTCATCATTGGCTGGTCAATGGCCTTATCAGACACTCAAGACGAGAATATTGTGTTTAAGTCTGCTTACTTTCAGCACGTTTTCTATGATTGTTCCGCAGGTTATTTATAATTTTTAATAAAGTACTGAAGTATTGCAGTACAGACAATTTCCAATTTTTAAGCAGTAATTTTTCTAGATAGCCAAATTTAATACATGTAACGGCAATTTACAATGTATTTTCGAAACTATGACATCATATGCGTTGACAATCATAACGTTGATAAAGCTGTACACGTGTTTTCTTAATCGATGTAAAGTACGTTACTCATGTAAAAGTATTTATATTATGCCGAAATTTAGAATATCTTAAACCTTAAAATGACGGTAATGCAACAGATGATAATAGACAGATATCACATATTTCTTTAAAAATTATGTTTTAGTAATAGTTTGTAATAAATTAATAAATTTATGTTTAAAAAATATTTTTTAAACCCACGCACACACACAGCAAAATGTTTGAAATCATTATATTGGTTTCTTATTTTATTCTATTATATATTTTGCTTTCTTTCTCGTTCATTGTTGCGCTCTCACTGGTCTTCTAATTATTATATCGATAATATTCTTAGATGAGAATTCTTATTGATCAATTATTTGTCAATTGGAATGAATTAGAAACTCCGGAAGAGTATGAAATTATGAAGAAATATGCCGAAACTGCCAGGCGATACTCTTTCAGATATTCATGTGAGAATAAACTGTGTAATTTTCATTTTCATGTACACTAAAAAATATCGAAAATTAATATCACAAAAATGTTAAGTTAAAAATTTTATTAATTTTTTAGTTTAATTGATCTAATTGATTATTTCTTTAATAATAATGCGATAAACAAGTTATATTAATTCCATATTCAACATTTTGTATTTGTAAAAACATATAGTAATGTTAAAATATTTTTTAAAACCATACTTTTTTCTTAGTGTATGTCTCTGTTAGCTTTGTTTCTTAAAATTACAATTTAGCAATCATATTGAGCAATTATTTTATCCGTTACAGTGTATTGCTTTTCATCCACATATTTCTTTATGTGTGTGTCTCTTATGCCACAATTGTTGGATGTCATATTACCTCTCAACGAATCCCGTCCTATATTATCGACATATCCAGGATATTACTTCGTTGATGAAAAGAAATACTTCTTTTATATTTTTTTGCATGCTGTCATAGCCTGGGAGATTGCTATGACCGGAATAGTCACCCATGATTGTATGCTCTTAACTTATATTGAACATATTTGTAGCATTTTCACTATAATTGGGTAAGAACAATTTATGATGCAGTTTCACTGATAAAGTGTCATTTCACGTAAATAATAACACTTTAGATTGCGGCTTGAACAATTAATGTACACATATAAACACACTGATGTTGTAAAGATTTTTCCTCAACCAAATAACACGCATAAACTGATAGTGTTTTCGGTGCATACGCATCAAAAGGCTTTAAAGTAAGTATATCTGTAATAAATTAGAGCAAAAGAAAGTTTGAAAATAGTTTTTAATTTATATTATTATAAAATTATCACATTTTTTATTCATATTGTACTCTTCACTTGTCATATAGATTTACTCAACTTCTTGAAGATACGTTTTCGTTATCGCTGGCTATACAAATAATGATAAATACAGTTATGATTAGCATCACCTTATTACAAGTATGTGAATTTATTTTATTCTAAGATTTTCCATGTATATATCACATATATATTTTATTTATTTTGAAATAAATAATCATATATTTATTAAAATTATGAGAAATGTGTTTGTAAGGAATTAAAATGTTATATTTCTTGTATTGCAGATTACGCAACAGCACGCCGATATTATTGAAATGATGAGATATATACTATATGTCGGTGGACAATTAATCCATTTATTTTGTCTCAGTTTCGAAGGACAGAAGCTGATAGATCACAGTCTTCGAATACATGATAAGATGTAAGAAATAACAGATCTTATAATTCTTATTTTAAATTTTTATTAACTTATTTCAAAATTTAATTTAACATATCGTTAAAACATTGCAGTTATAATAGTATTTGGTACGAAGTACCTGTGAAATCGCAAAAGATGCTTTTATTCATAATGCAAAAGAGTCTTCGACCTGTTTTTTTGAGTGCTGGCAAGATTTATATTTTTTCAATGGAAAACTTTGCCATGGTAAAAATTATAACGAACATTGTGAAAATGTAAGATAACAGTTTCTTTAATAATGTGTTCTTATTTTAAAGATCGTGCAAACTTCATTGTCGTACTTTACGGTACTCTCGTCTTTAGAATAATTAAAACCAATCATCAATATCTAGACGTTTTTCTTGTATTTAATTATGAGCTTGCAGCTTATTACATAGTTCGTCTGGATAAATCAAATGCGCAGAAAACAAATGATAAATAACAGAAAACTGATGTAAAAAAATTATAACAATATTACTACAAAAATATTAATACAAGTATTTTGTATGTGTCAGATATATTGTAATGTATATTTAATTTGCAATCTCTACTTTTTTAACACTTAAATACGTTAAAAGAAATTTAAAGAAGTTTTTCATAAATTTTTGTGAAATTTTACTCCATTTTTACTCAATGCAACATATTGAGATCGGAAAATTTCAATAACTAATTTAAAACATTTATTTTTTCCTTTTTATTGAATTAGCTACATATGTTCGAGCTATTGTTTCATTTTGTGGAAGTTGTTTTGTCAAATGTGAACGTTTTAAAGAAAGAACAAAATCAAAATGTAAAAATGGTAACTAAAAAAATCACAAAAAGCATTAGTGCAAATTACTTAGTATCAATTGATCTTAAAATCTATATATGTTGATTCTTGTCAGATACAAAAATACGTTTTATCATAAATAATATCAATTTTTTTAAAATATCGATTTTGAAGCACGACAAAATGCAAAAACAAAATAAAAGAAAACAAGTGTAAGAATTCATTAGTGTATCACGATAACTATATTCAATATGTATATGTATGTATCGAATAATTAACTTATTTATTTATTTTGTATTAATTACATAAGAATAAAAATAGAGAAGACATATAACATTTTTTTCCAATTAGATATATAGTATTATACATACATTTTTCAAATAAAATATTTTATCGTATCTAATTTACATCTATTAGACACCTTGTATAAGTCTATTTCGTCTCGTATGTATATACATCATACAGCCAAACAATAGAATTTCAATTGCGAAGAAAAAGGTTAAACGATCTTATAAATTATCCGATAAAACATAAACAGACCACACGTGTAGTAGATTACTAACTAAAAGAAATACGTATTTATTAAAATCTGCCAGCTCACGATAGATCGCCTCTGACAATATTTCTTATAATTTGCCAAATACGAATAAATCACCTTTGGCTTTCTTTTTTATTGTCAGCTGACGTTAGATCGCCTCGGACTTCATTTATAAAAAATTGCCAGCCCACGGATAAATCGCCTCTGGCATTATTTATTCTAAATTGTCAGCTCACGTTAAATCGCCTCTGACTTCATTTATAAAAATTTGCCAACTGACGTTTGATCTCGCCTCTGACTATATTCGTTAAAAATTCAGTCCACGAGTAGATTGCCTTTGGCTTTATTTATTTGGCAATTGTTTCAAAATCATATTGATAATAAAACTCTCATTAACAAATAAAAAGTAATATCAATTGACATTGAAACAATTCCAAATTACAAAAAACAATAACTGACCTTTTTAGCTGTTTGGTGTCTGTTGACATATATACTGCACAGCACAAACACTAGATACTATATAAATATTTTCATATAGAAGCACATATATATACGCAAAAGAAACGTACACTGTATAAGAAAAAAAGAACACTACGGAAAGTGTCTTTTTTTCATGAGGGTATATTTTACGTGCCATTAACCGTATTATTATTTTTCGGTTTTTTTGACAGATACGGAAAGTGTCAACGTTACAATAGGTTAGACGACAAACGCGACTCATACGCACACAATCGAGTATTCGTGTACAATTCGTGTATGTGTGCTATATGGCACCTCTCTGATATTATCCGGGAACTAATCTATTGTTGTTTTTTCGTCTGTTATACCGATACCGGACGCACACGTATATAAAAATAGTCGGACAGAAATATCTTTTACATTAGACTTTTCAGCCTAATTTTAATAATTCCATAACATTCTATTCTGCAGTCCGCAATTCGGGCTGCACTTATTCAGCGTGTTAAAACTGTTGAACTTTTATAAAAAACGAAAATAGATAACCCTATGCAATATATTATCCTAAGAGCAGAATAGAAATTAATTTTGTAATTAATTTTTTTCTGAATAAAGTCGAGCACTCCAAATTCCGTTTTTATGTACACTTTAATCCTGTAAAAGGATTTACAATTCTATGCAACCAATAAAAAGATATTTTTGTCCAAAAAAATATAATATCTGGCCGGTAAAACAGACCTCACATTTGCCTCGCACTTACCTCGTACTTGTCTTGCACTTGCTTCGCACTGTATCGAAACTCACATGTCTGTATTCCTTATATTCTCCATTACACATAAACTTCTGGTTCAATAAATTGTCAACAATTTGTTTACCAATACTCATTTATATCAATTCGCTAATTATCCACACATGATAAGCGTGAAAACTTCTTTACGGATTTACATTCCGATGGCGCAATTGACGTAACCTAAAATTACGATCATGCCGAAGAAGAATGCCGGTACCGCGAAAACTAGCAAGGGTAAATCTTCGGAGGAAAGCAGCAGTGGAAAAGCGGAAAAAAAGGGAGGAAATGCAGTGAAAGTAAGGCAATACATTTTGTATTATTAACAACATATGTGTCATATACGCGTGTCATTTGCAAATAAATATGTTACTTAGTACATATAATAGTTTATATTTTGACAAGAGAAACAATATACATGTCTATTTGATTATTAATAATTGTTAACAATAACTCGTGTACCGTTTACTCTTTTTACATCTTTAAAACTTTCATGCAATTTATTTTATACAATTATTCTTTTATGCACAGGTTAGACATGTCCTGTGTGAGAAGCAATCGAAAATATTGGAAGCTTTGGAAAAATTGAAGGCTGGTCAAAAGTTTAATGAAGTTGCAGCGACGTATAGTGAGGACAAAGCCAGATCCGGGGTAATATGCCTACATTTGAAATAACTTAATTATATTAAAAATAATTTTTGTAATTGTGTTTGAAACTTTGTGTTTATTGCCTGAAGGGTGATCTTGGTTGGATGACACGAGGTTCCATGGTAGGGCCCTTCCAAGATGCTGCCTTTGCATTACCAGTTTCCAATCTGGCATCTCCAGTTTACACAGATCCACCAGTGAAAACAAAGTTTGGCTATCACATCATAATGGTAGAAGGTAAAAAGTAATGTTAACAATATAAATTTTGTAAATGCTTTTGTAAAACTTTATTGCTATATCTGGAATGTACAATTAGTATACATATATTATTTTAAGAATGTAACTTTATATAATTTTTCATAAACTATAGTAACTGTTGTGCATTTTAAACTGCAGTCTCTACTTTATCATATATTCTTTGTATCTAGTTATATTTATATATAAATAGTCGTATTGTTGGGAATGAAGAAATTAGTAAAATTTTTATTAAAAAAGCACATTAAATAATTCATGCATTTCGATCAAATGAATATGGGAGTATTAATAACATTATGGTTGTAATAAATAAAGGTTCTCTATATACTACTCAGTCGCTTCTCTGGCGTGCCGCATAGACGGGCTTTTGAACGTTGTAACTTGATAGACGTTGAAACCTGCTCGGATGAAAGTAAAGCTACCATTCCTTAAAGTTTTTTGTCCATTAAATGCGAATGTTCGGGTTAGTGAAGCGAACGTATTTCAGAAGAGACTCGTTGTCCTCGCAGACCCAGGGTTTCTTGTGATGACACGCCACGTCGTGCCAATTCACTCCGTCATTGTAGAATTGATTGAGGATCGCCAAGCAATTCTCGGGAGCGCCGCCTTGGATGGCCTCGCGATTGTCCGGCTGCGGTTTGCCAATGCTGAACAAAATACACATATTATATCAATATTTGTGATGAATCAAAACGCATGCATTATCTTTGCCTTTGTCATAGACTTTGTATTAGCGATTACAGAGTAAAGAGTAATGGGCAATTGTAGTAAGCGGATGAGAAAGATTTAATTAAGAAGCGTTCGACATCCTTGATCTGAAAAGAGAAAATCGCACATTGATGCATCTCGATGCATACAAAGACTCGAGTGGCAGCGTTGTACTTACGCGCGAAATTACAGACCGGTATGCGCTATGAACGTGTAGTATATTGCGAATAATAGTTACGAGACAAGGCATTAGTCTTACCCGCCGCTCTCGGACCAGTCGTTTTGGCTGCGATCGTTGGTCGGCGCGAGCTTCTGCAACTCGGCGGTCCAGAACCAACCGTTGATGTGCAGAGGCTGCAGATCCGGTCGGTCACAGCCTTTGAAGTCGCACAGACGACCAGAGGTCCAGATGTACTTCACTTTGTCTGCAAAGAGAAACGTTTCATTAGCATCTTTTGTTCCCGCTTTCACGAACAATGCGTGAAGCAATATGTACTTTGAACGATGCGGCTCTTGATGAATTCATTCTCTGCGGAAGTCTCCAGAGAAACGAGATCCATGCAACGCTGTCGGCAGAAGTTTCTACCCGACAGCCAGTCCACCTCCTGTCCGGCCGTCCTCGGATCGGCCCACGAGAAGTAATAACCTTTCCCATTGAATCGTTGATGGATAATTCCTGCAGAAAAATCGTAATTAGAAAACTAAGCGAATGAAATAGCCGTTGAATAATAATAATTAGGCAATCATCTTTATGAATGTCTTTGAATGCGCAAAGTATGTTTATCGGAAAGAGCCGGAGGCCTTTGCCGGAGTGAAAGTTGTGAAATTAGTGTCAGTCCCGACGATGACCTCGCCAACCACAGTCACGACCTAGACATTGGCACTCGTGCCGTATGCTGATTACATCGTCACATTCCGGATAAAGAAAAAGAAAGTTTTATATGAGACAGTTTTATATGGCTCGAAACATATCGATGGGCTGCGTCTAATGAATAAAAAATTAGTTATGTGCATGACTCATACATTCTTCGCCTTTGAATTCTACAAGCTCGTCGATGATGTCCCAATCGAGAAAGATATTCTAGAAACACGATTTAATCCATTTACTACTACAATCTTTTAACATTAGACAGAAAAAGCAAAACGCATCTTAAACGTATTTCAACAGATTAAGAAATTGACAAACATAGAAATATTCCAAACAAAGCTTAATTTAATTTTAAACGCATTCTTCTAGAGAGTTCAAGAAAGAGTTGATTAATAAGTCTTTTATCTACGAATTCCTATTCTGATAACAGAGAGCTTGGAAAATCGTCTGAAAAAATACGAAAGCGGCGCTCTAAATTAGACAGATTTGTCATCGTCGCTGTTGACCCGGTCGAAAACGATGAGCGTGAAAGTGCCACCCGACATATTTCGTACTACTTACGACGAGGACATTTCCAATTCAAATGCGTTCGAGTTACACCGTCGTCGGTGTCATCGTCACACTTTCTATAACGAGCGTGAGCGCCGAAGATGTAAGAATGGTCGGTCACGTACAATTAGTGGCGATAAGAGAATACGATGTACAATGGGTCGGGACCGAGCGACGGTAAACAGTGACCTCGAAGCGGGACCGAAGGCGGAGTAGGAAGTAGGAAAACAGATGGAGAAGGAAGATTCCGCAGGGTCACCGCCTTTAATCACAAATATTGGAAACTACTTTCTCTGGTTCGTGGTTCCCTTAGATGTTTAGCTGTCGAGGGAAATAGGAAAACTCTCTCCGGCGTGGTTCCCGAGCGTTGGGAATATCTATTATTTATTCTAGTGAAAATTTTATAAAGATTCTAAATGATCATTTTTTTCCACGGTCGATTCATCTATACAAAGTTACCAGCAACAATAGCAACGATTATCTCCATCAATCGTGAATAAATTAACGCCATTGAATAATTTGATCATTTACCGCCTTTAATTTGTAAACAATACGGCAGTAAAAAATAATTTCATACAATTAAAATGCCTTTTCATCCAAGTAGTGCAAAAATTTGAAAAACAAATGTAATATTTATATATAAAACAAAGCATCTCAATATTAAATATTTAAAGAACGTCTTTGACAATTGCTTGCATGTTGCTTGAGATTTTGAGATAAAAAGTAAGGATACGCAAAACTTACTCTGTGCGCAAAGTACTGGATTTGGTGATTCCAAAATCCTACCGCTGGGTTGTGGTTGGAATTGGGCGGAGGAAAATCCCACGAGAGCGGTAAGAAGTACGAGCGCTATCATTCTTCTTCTTTTTTCGCTATGGTCAGTGAATAAGAAATGTGAAATTAATATCGTCTACTTAAATAACTGAATTATGAACGAGATTTGTTCTAATTAGCTTTATCTTCTTTTTTCGATCGTGAATGTTAATATAAATTTCTTTATTATGTTTGTGTTTAAATGTCCGAACTTTCCTGAAGAAGCGATTCTCTTCAAACCGGTTCCACGATTGCAACGTTATATAGGGTGCGTCCTAATTTCAAATGACAGATGACACTTCAACTGTCACTAATTATTATTGTTCTTAATCCATCTTACACATTGTTATTAAAATATAATTTCCATCATATAAGACTCTTTCTTAATTTTGTATATAAAAGTTAAGAATTTTTAATAATAATATTAATATTATTTAAAGATATTACTTAATAGTATTTTGTATAATCAGATATTAATACATGAGAAAATATGATACATTTTTCTTAATAAAAAAAAATTCTCTAAAACAAAATTCAAATGTGATTGAGTCGAATCGTTTTTGATCTTATATTTAATATTTGTTATCTACGGCAATCGTGCGCTTCTTGATGCATAATAACATAATGTAATCTTATATTTTTAAAAATCATCTACTAAATTTACCTGACACAATCAACACTTGTTCGATCCTAATTAACAAAATTAGGCGCTTCAAAACGCGCACTGATCTCCACAGAAGAAAACTTCAACAAATATCGATGTTGGTTCTGCAGACGTTCAACGAAGAATTGCAGTGCCTTCTTGGCAGGCACCCCTATATATACACAATGAGGACACCTCGTGCCAATACTTTTACCACCCGACGAGCGGTGAGATTTGCCCAGCACGGAGACTTCGACGCCGTGGGTTTCGTACAGATCGTACGCTCCTTTCCTCCTTGTACAAGGGGGGGTCATCTTTTGGGCGTGGAACCGCGTTTCCGGCGACATTCGGAACGATGCTCAAAAATCGCGCGTACACCTTTCCTCTGAAATATGTGAAATTGATTAGAAAAAAAAAACTTTCCCGCCATTTGCGATGCGGCGACAATCGCACGGAAATGAAAGCGGAAAATCCGTGGGACACCATATAAATCATTAAATATATTTCTAAAATTAGAATGAATAGAACAATTATAGTAAAGAGAGCTTAGAAAATTTGGATGCTATTAAAATTCAATGTTTAAACTTTGCACGGATTTTGAAGCTTTCGTCCTGTCTTGTGACATTTTTGAAGGTTTAATTATTCGGATGGCTACTTTCAATTTTCACTAATTTATGAAGAACTAAAACTGGCTTTATTTAATTAGCTGATGCTTAATATTCTACGAGGATTGCGAATACTTTCTAGAGAACTTTGAAAACGGTGTTTTGCGCTGGAAACAAAGTTGCATAATTTTTAAGTAATTTGTAGAATTAAAAGAAACATCTTTCAGTCGTTCTAAAATTCGGCGTCTTTGAATAGATTATATGAAAAGTGGAAAGTAAAATCTCAGTGATGCAAGTGAAAGGAGAGTACACGAAAGCATGGAAATTGAAATAGCGCTGCGTAAAAAAATTCTCAGAAAGAGTATATTCCGTAATATTCCCTCAAGTATGTGAAATAAATTAACGGTGTGTTCGACGCAATCATGTTTGCATGTTTGTTCAGGATGATCGTTTGACTGCGTTTGACACGTCGCTGGCTCGTGAGAAAACACGAACTTTCGCTAAAACGTCCATGGAATTTTAAACAGAACTTACGGCCCCGAAAAATTTTTTCTCGTTATCAGTTCATGTACGGCTTATATATGCCTAAAATAGATGCGAGTTAAACTACAATTTATAAAATTAATGTTTTTATTTTTTAATATCCTTTATTATAATGAAATAAGAATGGAGAATTTTTTTAACTTAGTTGCGTGCGCTTAAATGTTTAATTCATTTACTTCTGTGTGCGTTAAATGAAGTTTTACGTTTTACCATAAAAATGGTGTCACGTTTTTATATGCAATTTAAGCAACATAAATTGTTAATTGGTGTGCAATTTACAGAATAACAACGCTAATTTACTTCACTGACATTGTGTATAATCTTTATAACCTCTTTAACTCCACTCGTGGCCATGTTTCTTTAAACAACAATTTCTGTAATCACGTCCTTAATAATTTTAGTCAAGACTCAAACCAAATGGTTTAAGTTTTGACTTAAATTTTATCTAAGATTTAAACCAAACGGTTTTTCGATGCCGGAAAAATGTTCTAAAAAGATATTTTTAGGACGTTTTAAAAACGTCTTAAAAAAAGAATTTTTTAATGATCCTAAAGCCGAATTCCCACTGAGCGCGTCACGCGTCGGCGTCATCCGTCGCGTCACGAATTAACCAATCAAAACATCCCATTTTATTCGCGCGGCAAATGATGCGATAAAATGGGATGTTTTGATTGGTTAATTCGTGACGCGCTCAGTGGGAATTCGGCCTAAGAGTCTGGTTTATGTTGTCAGATTTTTGATTGGTTTGTCATTTCATATTAAACCAATCAAATATTGGATAACATAACCAGATTCTTACTTCTAGAGTTTTTAGTATACGTAAAAATATATTACGCTTTTATAGGACTTCCACTTTATTTAATTCTCTTTGGTCAGAAGTAGGATGATAAAATTAGATAAGTTAAAACCATTGAACTTTATACAAACTGGAAAGCGCCGTGCTTAAGATGCGGTCAGACAAACAGAACATTCGGATTGTTTTGTCTCTTTCTGTTGTAGGCTTTCTTCCTGAACTTTGTACATGCGTATACTCATGTATACTCTACACATGTATATAAAAAAATGGAGGCTTTCAATAAGCTGTGAAGAAAAGAGACAAAATAATCCCACTGCCTCTCTTTGTCTGACCACTCGCTTATATGGGAAGCTTGTATGGGAGGCGCTTTTCAGTTTGTATAGAATTTAGTGCTCCATTCAAAGGTTTCTCTTTTTTTTTTAATTTTTAACACTCTTCGAACGACATAAGAAATCTATATTTATTACGTTTGTAGTTTTACTGCTTACGTTTTTTTTTTGTGTGCTATGGCCCTAAAACTGAACCTAAACCACTGATGCAATATTTCCTACGGGGCTCCATGGCTCCCGAGCCGCACACAAGCGAGAACTGTGTATATGTGCTGCGCAAAGCGTTCTGCGCAATACATGTACATGCTTCTCGGTTGTGTGGGATCGTGAGCCGTGGAGCTTCGTTGGAAATATCGCATTACTGACCTAAACGAGTAATTAATGACATATTAAAAGAGGATGTGTCAAAAAACTTGGCTATAGGAAGTAGCTTGAAGTCACTTATACGATTAAAAAAAAATTATTATTTGAGAAACAGGTATGGCATATTTTTAAGTATAAGACGCTGATAATATAGTAAAAATTGTCACGCTCATGGAAAATTAACAGCACGACATAACAATGCGTTTATAAAATTAAATTTTAAAATTACCGCATTCAAAGAAGTATTTTAGAAATATATAATTATGTACGATGCTTTTTAACAGTTCTAATCACATGTTTTATTAATATTGTGAATGTGCTTGCGCAAAAACAATTTCGCATTTTGAGGCAAATCGGATAGGTTATGTTTACATTGTAAAGGTTATTAGAAAGATACATTTTAATTAACAGATCTATGCAAAGTTCGTAATTGTAATTTTATTTTGTCGTAATCCATGTGAAGATGACGAGAATATCTGTAAATCAGATTGAATCATTTATGGCTAAATGTGTATATACATATCTCATAATCTTCTACAACTACAGTTCTTCAATTTGTACGTTCCTACAAATTTATAAGAACAACAAAAAAAATTATATTTTCGTAATAGTAGAATAATTTATACTGTTGCATTTTCTGTAATAAAGAGTTTTGCAAATTTTAAACATGATTTTATTATTTAAGAGACCTATTTTATAAAATGTGTAAATTATTTTTGTTTTACACTAAAATATTTTACAATTAAACTCAAAATTGAACAACATAAGGTCTAAATTATTTGTCAAATAAATATGTTACAGTACAGCAACATAACTTTTCAAAAATGAATGGAATTATACCTGAAATGGAACAAATTATTAGTCAATTGGAAAGAGGTACTGTAGTTACTAAGTTTTTTCCAAGAAAACGGCCAGAAAAGAAAACTCTTATGATAAGAAGAGAAACTAGACAAATTGTTTGGTCTAGAAGCGCAACATTCAGACCTTTTGATGGTTCTGGTAAGGTTCTATTTTACATTCATCTTTTTAAATTTTATTTAATGTTTGTCTTAGGGATATATCTTGTCTTTATAGTTATTTTGAGATATCCACAGCAGAAATGGTCACAATATTAGCTAAGGATAGTAGCTATAGGTCAAAACCATGAAGGGAAGGTTCTTTATTATATAAGGGTGAGTTTGTAAAAATCGAGTTTATGTCAGTTAAAATGGATCTCATCCAATAATTTTTATATTTATATTTATATTTTATTATCCTGCAATATAATTTAAATCACTATCATGTAATAACATCGAGATATGCAATTAGTATTTTTGAATAATTATTTTAATTTGTAACATTAAACATTGTGCACAATGAGATCCTTCCCTTCAATTACGTTAGGATATACTTTTTTTATTTTTTATTTACAGACAAACTTCTTGATATTGCCAATACATTGGATAAGATCTATTAGAATTATAAATATTACATATTTGAAGCACATGATAATTTGATTACCTCATTTATTTGCAGTGGAAATAAGAGAAGTTAAAGAAATTAGGGTGGGGAAACAATCTAAAGATTTTGAAAAGTGGCCTGAAGATGCTAAGAGAATTGAGAATCTAAGATGCTTTGTTGTATATTATGGTTCAGAATTTAGATTGAAAACTCTTTCTATATCAGGTAATTATCATACATAATTGTATTATCGCAGATTGATTGTTTTTATTACAGACAAGTATTGCTCAATACTTATAATAAAGTAATACTTATATTAAATATTAGTTGGTTTAAAATAATATTTATCTGTGTTTATTTCAGCTCTTAGTGAAAAAGAATGTGAGTTGTGGGTTAAAGGATTACGTCACTTAGTGCAAGACACTATAAATGCACCATATCCTTTACAAGTTGAAAGATGGCTTAGAAGAGAATTTTATGCAATGGAAAATTCCCGTGAAATGTAAATAGTCTACGAATTTTTTTATGTTATATATGTTTATATAGGATGTAATGGAAATTAGTGTGGCTAAACTTCAGAAGTCTCCATTGCACCCTTTATATGCATTAGAAATTTTGTATGCATATGATACATGCATACGTGTGTGATTTATATATTTATATTTTATATATATAAATATTTACACCGTCTTTTATGTCATCTTAATATTTAAATTTTTGTTAACAGGGTTACATTGAAAGATGTAAAAGCGTTTTTGCCTAAAGTTAATTGCAAAATTGCTACAAATAGACTCAGAGAATTGTTCCAAGAAGTAGATACGAGAAACCGAAATGAGCTTGGGTTTGATGATTTCGTTATTCTATACCATAAACTAATGTTTGATCAGAATGTAAGTATATCATTTCTGTATGAATATTATTAATATCACTATTTATCCGTTTGTTCTAAATTAATGTGATATCTATGTTAATATATCTATGCGAAATTAACATATGTTTTTACAGAATCTCACAGATTGGCATAAACTGTTGAATTATTCCAAAACTGCACAAACCATCACACTTCAAGAATTCCAAAACTTTTTAATTACTGAACAACAAGATAGTTTGGGAAGTAATGAATTAGAAATATCGCGTTTTATTAGGGAATATTTGCAAGATCCTCAGAGAGATATACAGGAACCGTATTTTACCTTCTCAGAATTTATAGATTTCTTATTTTCCAAACAAAACGACATCTGGAATCAAAAATTTAATCAAGTTTCTCAAGATATGAGCCACTCTCTTGCACATTATTGGATAGCGTCATCACATAACACGTATGTAATCTTTAAAGATATGTAATTGTAAATGTTCCTACAACCTTAACTAACGATATATAAATATATTATTAGTTTAACATTGTATTGTTAGTTAGGATATGTGCAATAATATATTAGCTATAATATTAATATGTATATAAAATGATAATATTGCAGATACTTGATGGGAGATCAGATTAGCAGTGAAAGTAGCTGTCAGGCTTATGTGCGTGCATTAAGAGCAGGATGCAGATGTATAGAGCTTGATTGTTGGGATGGTCCAGATGGAATGCCATTTATATTCCACGGACATACTCTTACCACTAAAATTAAATTTTTAGACGTTATTAAAACTATCAAGGAGCATGCTTTTTCTACATCCGAGTAAGTTAAAAAGAAAAAAAGGAGAAACCGATTATTTTTACATATTCATATCTCTTATTAATACGCCTTGTCCACTCAGATATCCTGTTATTTTGTCTATTGAGGATAATTGTACCTTGCCGCAACAACGCAAAATGGCAACGACTATGCAAGAAGTATTTGGTGATATGCTGTTAGTTCAGCCTGTCGATAAAAATGAAACTTATCTTCCTTCTCCATTCGCGTTACGTAGAAAAATTTTATTAAAACATAAGAAACTTCCGGACGGAGTCGATGAATCCTCGTTTCTTGTTCGAAATGATGAAAGCAGGCAAGAGATGGATCTTCGAAATACTGTGAAAAATGGGATTCTTTATTTGGAGGATCCCGTTGATAGGGAATGGAATCCTCATTTTTTTGTGCTGACGCAACAGAAGTTGTTTTATACAGACACGTTTTCAAGATCGCAAGAAACGGAACACGATGATGATGAAGAAAGCAGCGTTAGGAGAACGTCGGATGTACGTGCATATGTAAAATATGTTTTTTTTTTCTTCGATTCTTTTTTGGATTGGTGATATGTGAATATATTCTACACGAAATAGAAGTGTTGAAATAATATTTTATTACAATTTTAAAAGGGCGCGCCAAATGACGAGCTGCATTTTGGGGAAAAATGGTTTCATGGGAAATTAGCAAGGGGAAGAGAGGAGGCTGAAGAATTATTACGATGTTATTCCTATCTTGGAGATGGTACTTTTCTAGTACGAGAATGTGTTACATTTGTGGGTGATTATTGTTTATCATTCTGGCGTAAAGGAAAGGTGAACCATTGTCGTATTAAGCTGAAACAGGAAATGGGACAAACGCAATATTATCTTATTGACACCAATTGTTTTGATAGTTTATACAGCTTAATTACTCATTATCGCAATCATCCGCTTAGAAGCCAAGTAAGTGTGTGCAAAAATTATTATGTATCGTGAAAAGAATGTTACAGATATCGGATTAAAAATGAAAATTTGCTTATAGGAATTTCTAATTACTCTACAAGAACCAGTACCTCAACCAAACAAACACGAGGAAAAGGAATGGTGGCATCCTGAATGCACGCGAATTGCGGCAGAAGAGATGCTAAAGCGTATACCCACGGATGGTGCTTTTTTAGTGAGACCTAGTGAAAGAGAAAGTAATTGTTATGCAATTTCATTTAGGTATGTTCTTGAAAGTATTATGTATTTTTATTATAATTTTACGATTGTATAATTTGCTTCTTGCATTGATATTATCATTATACTCTATTATTACACAGAGCGGAAAAGAAAATAAAACATTGTAAAATAAAACTTGAAGGGAGGCTCTACAGCACTGGAACTGTACAATTTGAAAGCTTGGTTGAATTAGTAAATTATTACGAACGGCATCCGTTGTATAAAAAAATCAAACTAAGCCATCCTGTTAATCAGGATATCATTAGAAGAATGGGATTGGTATGCACTTAATCTTTTAGTTTAAAGTTTATAGATACATAGATATATGGTGAAAATAACAAATACTATCTTTCTTATTTAGGATAATGATGATGGATCTGTTTATGGCATCCCAGGTTACATGGACCCTACAAGCTTTACGTCGAAAGTAAGTAAAGTAACAAAATTGTACCTATAATTGTTGACTTTATATACTAAGTTCTGCAATAATAAAAATATGCATAAAAATATTAATGGATATAAGAATTGTAATTCTATTTGATTGCACATGTATAAATGTATTAATGCACTTGTACTTACTTTATATTAATTACTTTAAAGGTTACAGTTAAGGCTATGTATGATTATAAAGCTAGACGGGACGACGAATTGACGTTAGTCAAGCATGCTATAATTACTAATGTCAATCGACAAAGTGAAGGATGGTGGAGAGGTGATTATGGTGGTAAAAAACAACACTGGTTTCCTGCTAATTACGTAGAAGAAATTGATCAACAAGAAAATCAGGGAGATGTAGGTCTCGAGTTTCATATTTACAAATAATAATCAAGAAAATACTGTAACACATTGACATGACGTTTGCTGTACAGTATTTACTGCGTCTAATTTAACAATATCTTGTACTTTTTAGTCGGCAGATTCTATGATGCTCGGCAGCTTGCAGAAAGGTTCATTGGATATCATGGGTGCTGTAGTAGAATTAACAGTTGGAGAAAGACCAGGTCTAGAATGGATCTTAAGGATACAAAATCCTAGTATGTGTTCAGTATTCGAAGTTGCGACACCCTTGAAAGATACCGCGTTAGAATGGATGTCAAGTATTAAAGAGACCGCGCAGAATGCAAGTGTTAGGGTAAATATGCAACTTACTTTGTATCTAAATCCAAATATTGCTTGGCATAGATAATATGCGTTATGAATATTTTTTTTTAGGAAAGTCAGCATAAGGAAATGGAAAGAGCATGGAGAATTGCCAAGGAAATGTCTAATCTTATAGTATATTGTAGATCAGTTGCATTTAACATAGAGCGACTAAAAACTAAGGGATTTACGTTCCACGAAATGAGTAGTTTTCCCGAAACAAAGGCTGAAAAATTAATGTGTCAACAAGAAAATAAATTTTTTATAAAGTACCATCAGGTATATAAATAAATTACAATATTAAAATGCGATTTAAAATAGATGATCAAAAAATATCTTTTTTATAGGTTCAGTTTAGTAGAGTTTATCCAAAGGGTCAACGCATCGATTCATCCAATTACAATCCCGTACCGATGTGGAATTCTGGTTGTCAAATGGTAGCTTTGAATTATCAGACCGGAGACAAGTCAATGCAATTAAATCAGGCGAAATTTAAAGAGAACGGAAATTGCGGCTATTTATTGAAGCCAGAATTCATGTTTAGACATGACTTTAATCCATGTGACAAAAATACATTGCACGGAGTTGATTCGCTGAAAATCAGTTTAAAAATTATTGGAGCGAGGCATTTAATGAGATCAGGAAGAGGCACTGCCAGTCCATCCGTCGAAATCGAAATTATAGGAGCAGATTTCGATTCAGGAACGAAATTAACAACAAAGACGATCCGTAAGCATGTCCATTTTAATTACAATTTTACAATAAGCCTAATTGTATGCTAAACATAATTATAATTCTTGAATTTACAGCCGACAATGGATTTAATCCAATGTGGAATGAAACATGTGAATTTGAAATATTCAATCCATATTTTGCTCTTATACGATTTTTAGTGCAAGACGAAGATATGTTTGGCGATAGTAATTTCATAGGACAAGCTACTTATCCAGTAAATACTTGATCAATATTAAAAATATTTATGTCTAGGTTGAAATAGAGTATTGTTACTTATAATGTCTTCTAATGTTTCTAATTTAAATCTCATTTTTCATAGGTGCGTTGTTTAAGGACAGGATATAGAAGTGTTCCATTAAAAAATATATATAGCGAAGATCTTGAGCTTGCTTCCTTATTGATACATATTAAAACCATGCCTTCATCGGTAAGAAGAAATTCTATTCCAGAGTTATTTTGATTATAATATGATTTAGATTTTAATTAAAATCTACTTGTAATATAATATAATACTTAGAATATAATTCGGTCCATTTTAATAAATTTTTGTTGTCTTATACAGGGACATAATGCATAATAAATCAACAAAAAGTTAAATCTGTGTTGTGGAATATTCAATATGTAATTTAATAAAACTATTGAAATTAGCGTAGTAAGTATTTATATCTTACATAATTAAATTAACAATAGCTTTATATAAATGAACGGAATACATACATATGTATGTGTACATATCTGTTATACATTAATGTGTCATCTATATTTATTCCAGATGATGCAAACTATAACGATTGGTACATATCGCAACAGTACAGAATGGTATAAAAATAATGTTAGGACGAACATATCGTTAGAAAACTGTATATATTTATGTCAAACTTTAACAAGTTAGATACATGTAGATTATTGCAGAAATATATTAAAAATGTTTCTATGATTCACATATGACATAAAGTGATTAAATATTCTATGTTCTCTCATCAAAAAGAGAAATATATTAAAAAAAATAATGAAATAAAAAATTAAAAGATTGATTAAGTTAAAAAAAAGTTCTAACAAGACAAATAGACAATATATATGCATCTAGATGATTGAAATCTAGAATAGATAAATTATACTGCTACGACATATGGATATTATTAATAGCGTTGAAGCAATAGAGTATATTTTGTTTTATATATGAGGCGTTTTTAATAATTTATGTGATTAGTAATATATCATATTGACTTGTTATGTTTCGTAAAATATGCTCTCATATATTGCATAATGAATTATCTTTCCTTATAACAATTAGTTTATCAAATCATCATGTTTTATACTTGTAGTGCTAATATTAATTACTTAATTTAAAAGAGTAATTGCTCTATGCAATGAAATGAATGGATGAAGAGAAAGAAATATAATATAAGCACAAATACGCTATAATATCATAGATATATATTATGGCATTTAATGCAAAAGAAGTGTCACTTATGCGCGACAAACACACATCATACACTTAGAGTATTTAGAACTACAGATACAACTAGAACTATAGATACAAATTTAATTAAGTGATAAATTTTAGATTAAAACTGAAGTCCTAATATATATAGATCTATAAATCAATTACTTTCTAGATATTTATTTTTAAAATTTTTTATTTAGTATATATATATATGTGTGTGTGTGTATGTCTAAAGTTTATATATATGACACACATATGAAACATAGATTAATATTTCATACGTCATGGACTGATATCTCGAGATTATTCACGAGAAGCGATAATAAATGATGAAATGAATTCACGCTCGCCTGGAAACACAACTGAGAGTAACTTTCGTTACTATTACAGATACACATAAATAAAGTTAATTCTTTATAATTTCGAAGCTGCCTATTAAATATTCTGAATTTTCATGATATCGATCAATGTACGTAGTGCGATCGTATATATCATTAATACTTTCTAGAGAGACTTTGACTTATTAACTAAAATAATAAATATTTAAAAAACAGTTAGTTTACAGATCTATGTTTATCGAGACATTTTTATTTCTTTTTTGATAAATTCTATTACACAGTTAAGTTTGTATCTACAATAATATATTTCATAATTCTCGTTCATTATTAATTTTTCAACATTATTTTTATATGCAGAAAGATTAGGAAAATATATCAATAGTCTTAAGATTTTTTAAATTGTGTGACATTAAATGAAAAATTTTATTCATTATAATACTTACGTACATGTACTGGTCAGATTTCATGTAAAATATTGTAGGTCAATAATAGCAAAAATGGAACAAAATATCAGAGGCTTATTTGCAATCTATGCCTATAAAATTACATTACAGTATGTATATGTGTGTGTTCTACGAATTGAGATAAAAGTGTGTAAAACTTTTATTTTTTCTAGTCTAAAGTGCATAGACATACATATCTTTAATGATAAAGAAATATCAAAATACGTGCAAGGCGACACTATAGTTATGTCGCAATTTAGTTTCCTTTATAACTGATAAATGATGCTCAATTTTAAATCAGACGTCAGAAAGATTTTTTTTCTATTATATGATTAAGCGAATATTTTTAGTATACAAACATGTAATTATGTGAACATTTTTAATATGCATTATTATTTTATAATGAGCATCTTTGGTAAACAAATTTTTCCTCGATAATTTTACACATGTATGTGTAAAATGCATATTACATTTTTTTTTAATTGTAATATACTAAAAAAACGACGATAATTCTGTCATGTTTTTAAATGTTAATTATATTTTAATCATTGCGTGTGCTTATATGTAAAATTTTTGTAAATGGAAAATATGCGCTTGTACTTTGTACTGTGAACAATACAAGTAGACATATCTGTTGAAAACAAAGGCATAAAATTTTGTGTAATAAATTTTGCTTTGTTACAAACGCGACTAGAGATGTTAATTTAAACATTAGCTGTAGAAATAAATTCTATCCGATTTGTGTAAAATCAAAACTTTACTTGAAAAAGAATTAAAACTCAATCGAGATATTCTTCACCGTTATTGATGACCTTATGCGATTTTTCGGACAGCTTGTGAATGCTGTAGAAATAGAAATAGAAATTGACAGTTTTCAGACGATAAAAGTAGCTCTAGTAAAAAAAATTTATTGCTAAACTCAAATTAAACTATCGTTAATCACAGATGATTTAAAAAAGATAGAGAAAAGGTTTAGTATATATATTCAATATCTTTTATTGTTTATTTTTTGTATTTTACATATGAAAAATCTTTAATATTTGAGATAAAAAAAGAAAGCAATAATAACGTTAATAACATATCATTGGAACATTATGTATAATATTATATATAATATATTGATGTTTTTTTTTTTTACAAAGCTGACTTAATATATTCATCAAATAGATACACAGAAACTGGGTATGAGTCAGCCGCAAGCATTCTCTTCAAATCATTTGTATAACCTGCTAGTTGTCTTATACTTTCGGTCAATGGTTCTACGAAGTGTTCCACAATATAATGAGCAAGTCCTGCGTCGTTCACACGTTGTGGTATAGTGTTCTCGGTATTTTTGTCATTCAATCTATGACTGTGTAATGCTTTATCATGGAGATTTAACGCTTTATCAGCAAGTTCCTTCTGATGTTCAAGTGCTTTAGCTAAACTTGCAACTTCATTTAATTCATATTTCGAATCGTCGACCTGTAGACAAACGAGAAACATTGATAACCTTTCTTTCATATAAAGTGAGTTAAACACAAATAGACAATATTTACAGATACCTGGTTATGTGGATTCACGGTGAGCTTTATCATACTACCACGATGTGCAAGGTATTTGCTTAATTCTATTGCTTCTTGCCATGATTTATCAGAAATTTTGCGATATAATCCCTTAAGTCCATCTCGACTTTCAAAAAAGTTTCCAAAATATGTAGACATTAGTAGAAAATTAAAACTTTTTTGGATGTTAGCATTTATATACTCTTGCACTTTTTCTTGAAGTTCATCGATATTTCCATATTTGGCATTACAGTTTTCTGTTAATAAACCAAAATAAATAAACGCTATTCATAAGAATGCATTATTTTTTAAAAATATTATAATAAAAAAGTATAAAACAAAAATGGTTTCAGTTTAGCAAAATAAAGTAAAATTGCTGTAATACAATAAATACCGGAATTCGTGAGTGTCTTGCTGGCACAAGTGTCCTTTATTACTGCACTACAACTGTTACCACCCACTGTTTGTGCAGAAACAGTCAGCAGAAGGATAGATAATACTCCGAAAAATAACATCTTTGCTGAAATTAAATTTATAATAAAAATAAAGTATAACTTTGTGCATACACATTTATAGAATGTTCCTTGTTCTCAGTATATAATTATCATATAAAAATGTTTGAAAATTTAAAGAAAAATATAATACAATATTGTTAATTGTGCAATCATTCAACAAAATTACCATCATGTTTCTTTAATATTAAGATTTTGATCTAACATTGATTTTATTATTTTTCAAATATTGATTTTGAGATGTTATAACGTAACGTGGCTCTCTAAAGATTAAGACAATGTCTTTGTATTACTTTGAATGAAGAGATGAACGATCGCTTGTCGGTGAAATGCGCAGTACGTTTTTCTGTCGTACACCGCGCGAGAAGACACAAAAAAATGCCCCAAAAATATTCCTTCCCCCTTATTATATATTATTTCTTATCTACATACGGAATTATTGGAGTCTCGTCTGTAAGTATGACTTCTGAGATACTTCTTGCCGCAAGCGGTACGCGAACGATTCGGTTGGAAGAGCAACGTGAATACTCTCGCTTCGACGTTTCCCCCAACAATGAACTCTGAACGTTACCCACGGATAGCGATAGTTTCCGACCAGTCATAGTCAGCTGACGAATAGAGGAAGAAAAAGAAGCGTCATAGCGCATGCTCCGACGCTTTGTGCGTCGCACAATCGACAGTTTTGCCGCAGAGGGGGAATTGCGGGGATAGTTCGGGAACAGAAGGGGCGGATTTCCCAGCGCCCTCTCTGCCCTGTCAGCGATTAAAGTACGAATGTTGCAACATTCAGAAGCACCATCACTGTTGGCGGATCAACGATTGTAAGACGACGTATTTAGTTTAGCGGCCGTTCTCTTATCTAGCTCCGACGAAAGCAGCCTTCTATACCAGTGCGTATAAAGGTTGCGGGAACGAGCTAACGATCTCGGCGCCGCGCGCAATTTATCCGTTAAACGTTTCGACTTGCGGTGTATTATAACCTCTACGCGCGGTCTTGTAATCACAACAATGAAATCGCTCTGTGTTTTTCTCGTCGCTCTGGTCTGCGTCGGCGGCATCTTGGCATCAGATAAATCAAGTTGTAAGTTTATAATCGACATATGTTATTTTTCTTCTTTCTCTCTCTTTCTCTCTCTCTCTCTTTCTCTGTTCGCTCTTTTCCTCGTCATATCTGACATCTTTTATTGAAGATGCGCGAGCACCACATCACGCTATATTGTTGATTGTGGCATCATACACGAGGCATTGGTATTTCTCTTTTTTTCTCTACATGTTTACTCTTATATTTTTCAATATGAGAGTACAAATCGGCTTTTGGAACACAATTTTATATTAAAAATCATCTGTAGTACGATTTTGAAATGTTGCATGAGTTTATATATAATAATCTTTACCTTAATAAGAAAATTGATTCATTTGTCTCTGAAATACGAATTTCTCCTGTTTTATCGATGTAAAAAGATAGATTTTGTCACGCAGCACAACTTACTATTACATATGAAGAAAGAGGAAAGGAATGACTCAGCGTATAAAGTAATATAGGAACATAATGGTTTGTTTTGATTGAATAAGAAGACCATTGAATGTTGTTCTCTTGTCGATTGATTCTCATTAAACTAATATCAACCCCATCAGAGTAATATTATGGAATTATTTTTTTAAATATCAGAATATTGCCATATTTTATGATTTTTATCAAAAGTGAAAATAATAAATAAGTATAATTGTTGGTAATAAATATTTTGCAAATATAAATTTTCTGCAATCGAAAAAAACATACTTGTTGTTTGGAGTAAAATCTGGCCCAATAGTTCGATCAATTCGCCGAACACAAATGTCACTTTTATACATATGTTGAACGATAAGATATTGCATGATTTGGACTTTGTTGAATGCTAATAATAACGAGTTATGTGTTCTTATTAAAAGAGCAGAGCTTGGCAAAACGTGATGATCACGAGTTCAAAGACGGTCTTTGTTCACGCGTATTCTTGATATATTTCTCGACACATGCGTATCGGATAGTTTGTCATTTCCTTTGCGTTAAGTTTTGTACAATTGACAAAGGATATGGTGAAATATCTATGACGCATATGTCTATAAACAGACATTAAATTGCGCAATGCTAATGACGCATTTAAAATTATCAAAACTTAACTGCGAAAATACACAAACTATTGCACAGGAAATAGCAGTTTTTCCTTAAGTTATTTTTTATAACAAGTTATGGAATTAATGTAGGTATGTAGTTTAATATCATATAATCTCACTCTTAATAATAATTTATAATTTTGTAACCTCTTTTGGAAGGTTAGCGACAAACAAATACATTTGATTTCCAAGACGTACATATGTGCATATGTCAAGGCGATCTCTATTTTCCCACTTTATTTTTATACGTATATGATACGATTTTATCAAATGCAATTTTTATTGACCCGATATTATCGCTCTACAACGTATAAATGAGGCTAAAGTTGTAGAGTTGCTAGATCAACTGTCGGAAATCAACACAGCCATTTACAAAATATTATCAGTCATTGAGTACGTCTGCCGTTGCCTGAGCTTTGTTTCATTGTTTGTATTGTATATACAATTATTCTATGTCTTACATTTGGCTTAATGAATATGCGATTGGTCTCATGAGAATTTATGCACAGAACATCTAAACACTTTGCAATGTATTTATTCATACACGTACATATACGTTAATAAATTCTTACAAGCTTTGCTCATGATGTAATTTTTATCTTTTCTGTAAATAATATAATAAATTCCTACAGAAAATGTAAAACCTAAATATCATATTATTTAATAGAAAAAAATTTTTTTTACAAGTTGCAAGGATGAGAACGTCAAATGTAATTAAAACTTATGTCACGTATATATGATATATCTACAGCAAATTAATTCTTTTAATCTTTACTCATCTTATTTTGTATAAAGATAACTTTTAATGATAAAGTGTACGTGTATATATTGATTGCTTGAAATTCCAAAGTTCTTTCCCTATCTGCATGATTCACTCTAGAATTGATAAGTTCACTTTGATAAATCGTTATTGTTCTGATCCATTCGTATATTTTGTAATGTAGCAGCAACAGAAATAATATTTATAACGAATAATCGATAGTATTATAATATGTGTGAATATCATATTAATCTGACATGCAAATTATATTTAATATTAATAATTAATTTATAAAGCCCATTTAAGTTTTACATTAATATTTAAATTTGATATCAATGTATAATCATTAACTAATAATTTATTGTGAGTCTAAATAATGTACATTTTATATTGTATGTACACACTAGCGGATCCTGATGTCGATAATAAGGGGGGTTTTGACCTGTTTTAATGCATTTTTTACCAAGATTTTTGAAACGGATCCAGCAAAATTGATTTTTTTAACTTGGAAGGGGGGGGGTTTAACCCCCCCCCTCCCAGGATCCGCCAGTGTACGTACATAATTATAAGTAAAATTGAAAAAGAATTTTTATCGCTTCAATAATGATACAATTATTCCTATATAATTAAGTAATTTCATTTATGAAAAGATGCTATCAACATTGCGATTGATCAGTCACGTTTGATAAAGTACTTCTGATAAAATATTGATTTTCTGATAAAATATTGATAAATTAATACATGTACTGATTATCTATCGAAGATGACTTATTGTACAATATAATGTCAATTTTATCAGACTATAATTGTTATAAACTCTATATAATTATTATTATTTTTAAATATAATAATTAACTGATTTTGTTTGTGTGTGTCTCTAATATACTCTAATAACTCTAATATATATGTTAAGATATATTCATTAAATTGTTTACATCAAACGTTTCGACCTGCCATCAAGCCTTCTTCAGTGTACAATAGTAAAAATACAAATAAAACAGAAAATTCGCTCGCAAAATTCAAGACAGTGTGAAAGATGTGGAAGACATAAAAAACATCCTTTCCACCCGATTGTGATTTAGTAGAAAAAATCAGAATTGAATTGAATTCATGTTAAAACGCTGGTCCAAGTAGAAAGGACGAGGTGGAAAACAGAGAACAGATAGTCTTATCATTTTGAAAGTCAAGCTCTTAGT